GTGTAGGGGCCAGGCTGATTGTATATATGAGTCTGGAAAAGTCCATCCTGTCTATATAAATTCCTTTTGCGAGGACATTATTCTTTCACTTCTTGTCCCATATGTCACCGTGTCAACAGTGATATTATTTTTGTGAAGTAATGTGTATATGTTACATTCTGTGACAGTAAACCCACTGACATTGCCACAAATGGACAGTTTTTTTACAAATTTGTAGATATTTGTCTACATTTTCATTTGTATTCAAAGTAGAACTCTGTTCTTAGATACTATTTTCACTAAACTGGCAGAAATTTAAACCCCCAACAGTCAAATCTGTCTGAAGGCATAGTACCCATATCAAAGCACCTAAATGTAGGCATCATGTTTTTCCAAGATAGCAACAGCCCCAGCAATCCTATGGATTACAGTAGGAAGTGGAGTTCCTTTAAAAAATCAGTCCTTTTTGGGGGGGTATCTGGCTTTACTATTTAAAAGCTACCATAGGGTTTAGGCACCCAAGTCTGAAAATTCTGGTCTTAGTGAAGTAAGCTATAACATAACAGTAATAACTGTTATTAAATACATAGAGAAGCAGTGCTGGAGGAAAAAAAAGAACACAGATCACATAGACTTTACTGTGGGTTTACAGAGGAAATTACTTCCAAAAAGGTCAGAACACAAGATGAAAAAAAAAAAGTGATTTTATTATTCATGCCATCTATCTTCAATTGTGGCAGGTTTATTTCAGTGTGCCCTTCATCCAAACAATAGATGGAATGGACTTTAAAATGGGGGGGAGGGGGGAAGAAAAATGGTATTCTATTGTGCCCAAAGAGCAGACTGTATTTCTTTAAAGAAAACATGAAAGAAAGGACAAAACTCTGCCCCCACAAAGGTAAATATTTTAGGTGATTTAGAAAACTGGAAGGTTTGGTGAATATTCTCAGAGTTTTATGTTAGAATATATAATAATATTATAGCATCATGCTTATAATTTGCTTTCCTGTAGCATTCAGACTATCTTAATCACTACTTCTTTTATAATCAGAGAAAAATATGTTCTTCATTAGTTCTCTGCGTTGTTCTGCACAGTCCATTTATGGAGTACTCAGTTTCATGTTTCAGGGCTTATGTACAAGCAGGGTCCATTAAGACTGCACAGCCACCATCTCCCAACACCAAATATTTAAATTAAGATTAGAAAATGATGGTGTGATCTTTCTGCAGAAAACACTGTCCTTTCCCTGTGCTTGGCACATCCTTTTTTAATAAAAAACAAAAAAAAAGGCTGTTTTTCTTGGATCTGAGCAGCACTGCATACTCTTGAGTACTTATAATAATTATATTTTAGTGTCAGAGAACTTGATCTTTAAAAGCTTTTATAGCTGCATTTCAAATTAGTAAAGTGTTGTAGGATATTTGCAATGATAGGATCTTTTAAAACAGCTATCATGTTTAAGTATAGTAGTTACCTCCCAAGACTAAATTTTCAATTTTATTATAAGCACAGACTTCAGTGCAATGGAAATTTGTACCTCAGTCAGAAATATTGTAACAGAAATGTAATAAAATCTGAAATAATTTAAAATTTTTTGCATATTTTGATATATAAGTAAAGATGCAATTGAAAAGTCTAATTCAGCAGACATCTGGGTAAACTAGTCTCAAAATTCTCTGCTCTTATCAATATGGTTTCAGAGTTGTTCAGTTAACTGTCAGGAAAAGAATATATTTTGAAGGGGAAGAACATAGTTTTTTTTTAAGTTGCTGTTAACCATAATAGTTTTTGCTTTGCAGGACTACAAATGAATACAAATCTATGCTTTTACATCCATTCTGATCACTGTAAGTGGGATACGAGAGTTATGGAACATCATAATAAAATACTTTAAAGTTCTTTTGTAAGCTTGAGAATTTCTTTTATTGTTACAAAAGCATGTTCATGTGGAATTTTTTTAAAAGTGTATTTTAAAAATGTCTTTATTTCTCATATTGATCTTCAATGTGTTATCATTAAATCAGTGACAAAATTAGTATTGCAGTAAAAAAGCAGGATTAAAGATTCCTATACTGTTTTTTTATTTAACTTATTTAAACATTTATTCTAAATTCTAGCTATTTGAACATAGTTGTTTAACATTGTGATATTAGATCATAATTGAGTAATTATCCAACCACTGATAACAATTTTTGTTTCCATCTTACACTTTCGTATGTCATTTCCTCTATTTATGTGGCTAAATTCACGCTAGTTCCCATCATACTGTAAGCTAAGAAAGCTGGAGAGGGACTGTTTACAAGGACATGGAGTGATAGGACAAGGGGTAATGGGTTTAAGCTGAAGGAGGGTAGATTTAGATTAGATATGAGGAAGAAATTCTTTACTGTGAGGGTGGTGAGGCACTGGAACAGGTTGCTCAGAGAGGTTGTGGATGCCCCATCCCTGGAAGTGTTCAAGGCCAGGTTGGATGGGGCTTTGGGCAACCTGGGCTAGTGGAGGGTGTCCCTGCCCATGGCAGGGGGTTTGGAACTAGATGATCTTTGAAGTTTCTTCCAACCCAAACCATTCTATGGTTCTATGATTCTAAGTTATCAAGACATGGCTGAAGAGTGCTGACATAGTTTCTTCCTCTGAAAAACTAAAGGGATGATAACCTTTGGCAAAGGTTATCACAAGCACTTAAGGAGTATTGGTACCTTCAATACCTGAAGCAAGCCTGTTTTAGCTGTTACCCTGCCACAGTTCTATGGCAACATTACTCAACTTAAGCTCGAGTGAAAAGGTTTAAATTAGTGTGATTTAAGTGACAGCTGAAGCAGGCAGAGAATGCACACTCAGACATTTACAGCAACTTAGGTGGAAAGTTGTTAAATTGCTGCAACTTGGTGATGCTTAATCTTATGCCTGTAACTTTATGCATGAAGCAGTTTGAACAGCTAAGTAATCAAAATTACACAAACAAAAAAAAAATTAAAAAAACCTTGGCTTTGCTGTGATAACTTAAGAGTTTAAACTGGTTTTCATACTTTGTTTTTTTTTTCTCTTTTAGAGCTTTCCAAAAGAAAGATGCATGGGAAATGGAATGTCAACAGATTGCTATGTTCACAGCCAGTGGATACCACAGAAACTGTAGTCCTGCTTTATGTAGCCAAGGCACTATCACTGGTTCAAAAAGTGATAGCATTTTATCTTCTCATACACTTCACAGAAGTCACGAAAAGAAAATAGATTATAAATCCCCATCATCACCAATGGGGTATCCTTCGGGCTTTGGTGGGACGTTTCCTGAAAAGAGCAGAACAGGCAGCTTACTGAGCCCTGCTTACAATGCAGAAGAAATCAAATTATCAGTAAGTAACTATTTTCCTGTAACACTATAACACATATATTCTCAAAGATCCATCTGTGGACCAAATGCAGCCTTGGTGGAACTGAGAATTAGATCATCCCTGTTGTCATTAGTATTTATACAGTGCCAGCCCAGCAAAAATGGAAATACCTTATCCTAACATAAAGGCAGTTTTTCTGGAGATTAAACATCCCCTACTGGGCCATACCTCTATTCTAATAATGGTGGTGATAATTCCCTGCCATTATGTGACTGTGAGAGAGATTTCTACATTTTAGCTCATTGCCTTCTGTATTGGGGCACTCTGCTTCATATTGTCTTCTATAAGGGCACTCTGCTTTAAGTCTATTTCCATAATGCCTGCAAACTTACTGCCTTAAGTGCTGTTAGACAAATCAAGTTTCTACAGCATTCAATTGATGGATGAAATTAGAAGCAGTTATATATATATATA